GCCGAGGGTTGGTGGATTGTACATAGGATGGCTTGGCCATGATCGGCAAGCTTTCGCATGAGGGAGCAGATAGACCACGCAGTCTGGCTATCCAAGCCCGAGGTAGGCTCGTCAAAGAAGAGTAGAAGATCCGGTTTGGCTGCAATCTCGACTCCGATCGTCAGGCGCTTGCGCTGCTCCACGTTGAGACCCTCACCAAGAACCCCAACGACCGCCTCAGCATACTCTTCCATATTGAGCATCTTGATAACCTCCTCTACATATGCTAGCTTTTCCTTCCGTGGAGTACTCGCGGGTTGGCGGAGCAGGGCACTGAAAATAAGGGCCTCCCGAACAGTACTCGTCTCTAAATGCAGATCCTGCTGTTGAACATAGCCTGTTTTGCGCTGGAAAGAGTCATCACGCATGCGCCCGTCCACTAGCATCTCACCAGTGATTACCCCCATAGTCACCCGATTGGCCAGAACATCGAGGAGAGAGGTTTTGCCAGCGCCGGTGACACCCATCAGGGCTGTGAGAGTCCCCGGTTTAACCCACCCATCAACCTGATCTAAGATTCGACGGTCCTGGCCCTTGATTTTGATATCATAGCAGACGTCTTGCCAATGGAATATTGATGTTTGCTTGACAATGGCGCCGACATGATCATCCTGCTCATTGCCGACCTTCAGCTTCTCTGACGTGAGAACATCTTCTGGATCCGCTTCCCGATGCACCTTCCTTGCAAAAGCGGGTATTTTACCACGAGGGAAAACCAGGATTTCTCCTTTCGAGGGCTTCGCCCGCACAAGCTCACTGGCGACGATATACGCCAACAGCGAAAAGAAGAGGAATCCCAGAAGAATGCCGAAATTACGCCATAGGTGGGAGGGGTAGTATTCGAACGCCACTTCGAGGTACCGATCACCATCGATATAATCCTCGCCTGCCACAGCACCCTTTCCGGAGCAAATCTTCGAATCGAGAGGCGTATTCTCATACCCTGGACCGGAAGGCACATACGTTGCACATTTGAATTTACGGCCGGAGAACTCATTGATCATGAGGGATTCAAACGAGTACTATTTTCGCTGGTTTAGTAAAAATGCCCAACTCACCTGAGACAGTAATCCAGAAACTTACTGCTATTGGATTGAGATAATTGAGCCATCGAAACCAAGGGCGCATATCCCGAACCGGAATGGTAAACCCCGTGTAGATCATCAGAATCATCATAAAGATTGAAGCAGGAACTTCTGCCTGCGCCAAGGACCGAGAAATTGCAGCTATCCAGCGAAACACGTTGGACATAGTTAACGTTGTTGTCACGGAGAACAAGTAGAACACAAAGAAATGCCCCGGTGTCCGACGCAAGTTTGTCATAAAGTAAAGAATCAAGTTGAATACCACGGAAACTAGTGCTTTAGCTGGAAGGTCAACAATTAGGGAGCTGATTGCTTCAGCCGATGGATGGTAAAGTGCATATTTATCATGCTTTTCAACAATTGGTCGTTGTTGCCATAGAGTAAGCATCTCAAGGGCGCTGGCAAAGGCATTCAGCAATATTGCAAAGAACAACAATGCGCCCCGAGAGAAATAACTCTCCGTAGTATCGTCCAAGTTGTAGAAAACACTCGAAATGATTAGTGCTAGGATACTATTGCCGATTACCGTTGATAAAGTCATGCTCATATCACCCTTGAGACGTAGAAACCCTCGTTGAAGGCAAAGCCGGATCTGCATCCAATATGACAGGGTGTAAGGGGAGGCAGCCCTGGTGTGCTTGGCCTTCTCCGCGGCTCGAGAGCGACTGAATTCCTCTTTCTTGTGTCCTCCTAAGGGGAACTCATTCTGAAATACTTCAATGTCTGTCAAGAGCTGTTTTCTTTCTAGACTGTCCCTCCATCGCGCCGCAAATTCATCTGATGTACGAGGGACCAGGTGCTCATATCCCTTACGAACCAGCCTCTCCGTCGGACTGGTGAGGGATGTTAGAAAATCTCCAGTAGTCTGCCTTTCCGGACAGTCAAATCCCATTTCGATAAAAAACCGTTTCGCGTCGCGGGCACCGCCGAAATATATCTGGCGGCCCTCGTAGAGAACAATGACTTTATCGAATACATCATAGATAGCCTGACTCGCCTGATAGATTGCCACGATAGCTGTGGATCCCGTGTAGTCCGTAGATAGACGTAAGTTTTTGACAAATTCGAGAGCAGTCGAGCTGTCCAACCCGCGAGTGCTGTTGTCCCAGCATTGCAGGGGGCTTCCACATAGAGTAGTCTCCGCAATGCTAACTCTTTTGCGCTCACCTCCTGAGACGCCCCGAATGAACTCGTTTCCTACTCGTGTGTTCATGGTATGGCTCAGACCTAACATGGCCATGACAACGTCCCTCATATGTATCGCATATTGATCACGGCTCACACCAGGGAGTCTGTTTGCTGGTGCTCGGGCCCGTGCCGCAAAAAGAAGGGTGTCTCCCGCAGTGAGCTGTGGAAAGTGAATCTCTGTTTCAGCCTGGTACATCACCTCCCCCCGAAATCGACTATGCATTTCGTCCCATGAGATCCCCTGGTATTGAATGTCGGTTCCTTTGTCGAGCCACAGCCCATGGGTTTCACCGGCGATGGTCTTCAGGAAGGTCGAGCAACCACTGCAGATATTCGAGTTAGTCCATTAATTGTGCTTGGTGGAGAAAAGACGCTTACCTCCCAGGTCGGCCCAGAACCACCAGCATTTCCCCACTGTTGACATAGCCTTCAAAGTTACGCAAAATATCGATTCGGACCTTGTTTCCATTGCCGAGAAGGCCACGGAGCCAACCCACTGCCTTGAGCCAGACATTTGATACGGTAGCCTGATAATCAGCCGCCGTTCCATAGCCGAATGCGTTGAGGTTGCGAAACGAGACTCCCGCAGTGCGACGGGGGTAGCGCTCAGGGTCACGCGAGGTTATGTGCAAGAGGTTCTTGGTCCACTTGCGAGAGTTGAATTGGTCCGAGTTCGGGTCCAATTCGGGGTCACTGTTATTCAGAAACGGGTTGAGTCCCTCGGTGCCGCCATTTGTCTGGGAGATACGCGATAAGGTTCGTGCCAATGCAGTGATTTTGGTCTGTCCTTCTTGTTCGATGCCATCCTCTGAGTCAGCTTCAATTGTATCCGAGCTCTCTGTTCTGTCAACCGTGGACCCAGTGGTTTGGTCCACACGAGTATCTGTATGGCGATGCAATGAGCTTTCGCCCCCAGGCAGTGCCATGTTCGATGTCGCTGAAGGTTCAACGGACGTTGTAGGTGTTGAAGAAAGGCCCACAATGCTTCGTAGCGCAATCACAGAAGCTACACTGACAGCTTATCATAATACAACACGCGATACCAACACACAGTTCGAGAAATAGGGGGAGTACAGAGGGCAGAACGTGCACTCAGAGACTTAGAGACCCTGCGTTGAAAACAGGCAGGAAGGAATCAAAGCAGGAAGGGACAACGACTCAAAAAAATAATAATCAAGGCTGAGTAAACAACAGGAGGCAAAGTTTGACGCCATATAAGAAAGTATAGTGACACGGGAATAACGGAATACGGGAGAAACGACATCCGACCAGGAAAGCATAACACAGACAGAGGAGTGAAGATAGGGGATAGGAAACGACAGTAGCCGAGCCGGTCCATGGCCGAGAGATCATTGTACCATGTGCCTTTGTAACGTTTGGAAAGTGCGACTCTCAGGTCCTTGGCATGGGGAACTGATAGGCCGTTACCGTTTGGGTCATGTTGACTGATGTGGCTACTAAGTCATGTGCGAGGATGCTCCCTGCGGAAGCTACAAGTACTAGTAGTCTACTCCGGAATATGGCAGATCAATCTTTGTTCTCGAGTGGGTCGCAGCTTGATCAGCATAACGGTCTGATTCTGGTACTACTCTCTCACCGGGTGATTAACTTCCTGATGGAGCAGAACCTTCCTAGACGACTCGGTACGTATTGCGTTCCGTCTCGGGATCTTTCCTTTTGTTTGCGCTGATTCATTGCTCCTCTATCCAGCTCAGACCGCTTGTGTAAGGATGACCTTGCAAGAACCGCAGGGAGCTACGAGTGTAAACGCGGCGCAACCCTGTCCAAACGTCTTTTCCCTGTTACATCAACGGTGGGATTTGTATGGTTCAAGTTGATATCCTACGTAAGATAATAGACGCTCATTGGCTTCGTATAGGCCTCGTATTGGGGCCATCCCCACTCCAGACCCAGAATTGTTCCGGAGCTAAGCCATGTCGGGTTAATGCTGGTCACTGGGCTCCAGTTTGACACTGTCCTCGGTACCTTATTCTTGCCTTATATTGCAGGTCCCCACCCCGGTACAAACAATCGAAGCAAACGTCAACAACATGGTGCGTTGCTAAAGGGGAATACTACTAATCGTATCGCTTAGATCCCATGACTTGTACTGCGACAACTCGAGAGAGAGCAGCTCTCGGGCAAGACTAAGGTAGTCTCTTAGTAAGCCTGATGTTGTACCTTCTTCACATGGGTTGCATCCACCTCGTAACATTAAGTTTAAAAGCTCCGATGAATGGGGTATATTACATGCGGGGTATACGCGTAATTTATTTTTCTGTTCTTCTTTGTAGAAAATATTCGCAACGGTCGGTGGTTTCTCCTTAACTAGAAATCCGGATAGAGAGATACATATACTCCCGAATCATAGTGCATTGCCCACGGGACGGATGTTTGACGCCTCCTTTGTTTAGCCCTTCATTGAGCCGTTAACCTTCTCCAAAAGCAAAAAGGCTGTATTTTATTTTGTACCCTGTAATGAGACCTACACTCTTATGCAGTCGCAAGACACTATGCATGTGCCTCAGGCTTACTCTGTCCATGTTTTTTAGCATCCTTGGTAATGGTGAAGTGACGTATCGGACTTCATCCATCCTGTTCGTGGGACTGGCCTAGAACATGCCGACTGCTACAAGTCTACTGTACCTTACCACCTATTAAAGCATTCTATAGCCACGACAGCCAAACATGTCTCAGAAGAGCAAGACGGGTCTAAGCCGCCTTTACCAGATCCTGGAAGATGTACGGAAGATCAGGATCGAAGATGCAAAGGGTATGCTCCTGAGAAGTGCATCCTGTAGCAAGCATACAAAAGAAAAATGCAATATTTAACAGGCTTATCGAAGGAACTCTGTCATTAGGCAGCAGCAATCTCTTAAACAACCTTATGATTGCACAAGGCACCCTTCGTGATTACGGTCATTTCCGAGAATCTGACGCTCTGACCGATATCCTTATTACATGTGCACAACCTCCCGAGCTGGGTGGGCTAGGTCTTACGGAACATACTGATCCTACAGAAGACCAAGAGTCGGAGGTTCTATTTCTGGTTTCAGCATGGTGGGAATCGCTGAATTCGGCAGACAGGGCCAAGTCATTTCCCGCGTCGCTGTCTGTCCGCCCTAAAGGCCGAAGGGGCATGACCCTGAGCGAGAAGATCTTCTCATTACACGATATTGATCGGCGGGGGTCAGTAGCTCCAGGCGACCTCATACGAGTTGATGTAGATTGGGTGATTGCATCCGAAGCCTCTTGGGCAGTAAGTGCATGATGAAGGTTTTCTTCTCCCCTTCAGCAATAGTGCACTCACAGGGCATTCCAGGGCATGGAGTCAACGTACAACCGACTCAGGAAGCCAGGAATCTTTCGTAATGACCGCTTCTGGCTCGCAGGAGATCATGTAGTTGATCCGCGGGTCAACAACCTCCCAAAGGTTCAGGCATTGATCGATGCGAGTGAAAGAGCAAAGCGAGTGTTTAAGTTGACAGAATACCAAGGGATGAATGTTAGTTCTCTACTCAAACTCCAGTGGTCTACTAATAAGCGCATATAGTATACAATTCTCCACACAGAGTTCTATCGTGAACGAGCGCAGCCGGGCATGCTGATAGTAGGGTCGGACTCGCACACTTGTTCATCTGGAGCGCTTGGATGTCTGGCTATCGGTCTTGGTGCTGCGGATGTGACAATGCCACTGGTAACCGGAGAGACGTGGTTCAAAGTCCCAGAATCTATTGCAATCCGTCTGGTTGGAAAGCCCAACCTGGGGATTGGCGGAAAAGATATAATCCTTTTTATATTGCAACAATTGAAAAGGAATACCACTGCCTCGGACAGAATTGTGGAGTACAATGGACCTGGACTAGAACATCTGTCCTCTGACGCTCGGTTTGCAATATCGAACATGACGGCAGTATGAATCACATCACCCCCTAACCATGGAGCACACTTCTAACCTATACGGTAGGAGTTGGGTGGCATTACTGGAGTCTTCGTCCCGGATATCCTTACACAAAGCTTCATACAAAAGCGCAGAAATCCACGCCACAAGAGCGCAAGTATCTATATGAAGCCAGATGACGATGCGCAATACGTTGAAACTCACGAAATTGATCTCAGCAAAGTGCAATCCTTCATAGCAAAGTATCCTCGGCCGGATGATGTTGTTCCCGTTGTTGTTTGTGAAGGCATGAAGTTGGACGGTTGCTTTATTGGAGCCTGTACCACTGCCGAAGAAGATCTCATACTAGCCGCCTTAGTACTTGAACAGGGTCTGAAAGGTGGACTGAGGCCATCAGTAAAAGGTAAGAGAAAGGTTGTCCCTGGATCAATGCCGATTCTACATCGACTACGTCAACTCAGCCTGGTCGAAGTGTACGAGGAAGCGGGATTTGATATCGGCATCCCTGGATGTAGCTACTGTGTTGGTATGTCTGCTGACCAGGCCGCTCCGGGTGAGATATGGTTATCATCACAAAATCGGAACTTCGAGAATCGAATGGGAAAGGGTACAGTTCAAAAATGCGTGGCAAACTGCTCTTCTATATACTGATTTTCAAATCTAGGATCAATTGGACACCTCGGGTCTGCTGCTACTGTTGCTGCATCCTCGTTTGAGATGAGGGTTACTGATCCTACCTATCTCCTGGATGCTATCGACACAGAGCAATGGGACAAGCTTCGACGACATAGAGCTTCTATTGTCCCAGAAGATGCCTGGACCCAGAATGTAGAATATATGGAACCGAGCGAGCCTTCGAGGCCTTGCTGTGAAATCCAGAACAAGGAACCAACCATTAGAAGCATACCGGCTGCACCACCGGCTGCACCACCGGCTGCACCACCGGCTGTGAAGCATGAGGCTCTGACAGGAAAGGTCCAAATCCTTGGAGATTTTATAGATACAGATGCTGTAAGTCGTCGACTACTAAGGAGGATCAGATAAGCACCGTGGATTAACAGCTTCTCAAGCTTGCACCAGCTGAGTTCTTGGTCGACATGGCAACTAATGAGGCAGCTGGAGAGTATTGTTTGCAACATACACACCCAAAGTTCCGTGACCGCGTTAAAAAGGGTTTTAATGTCGTGGTTGCCGGCAAGGCCTTTGGCTGTGGGTCATCTCGGGAACAGGCTGTCATGGCATTGCTGGGTATGACACCCCTTATAATTTCATCTCCCACCGTTCATTTTCCCTTATTTTCTAACTCGCATTTCTCAGGGTGTGGTATTAAATGTGTGATTGCCCAAAGCTTCGCTTTCATCTTTCAGCGCAACATGCCAAACCTTGGACTCCTTGGCATTACTATAGCAGAGAAATCATTCCATGCAGCCGTCGAGGATGGAGCTGAGATCGCAATTGACTTCGACGATGGCATTATTAACATGGATGGAAGAACATTCAGGTTTAATCTCAGTCCAATGGAGAGAGAGCTCTTTCATCATGGTGGTATTGCCTCCGCCTTTAGAAAGTTTGGTAATAACTTGTTTGAAGCGATGATGGAGGGAAAGGGTCTAACGCCTGGTCGTGGCATTGTAAATCATGTTGATTCACGCCCCGAGCTGCAGTGGTAGGAGTCTGAATAAGGTGCCTATTCGTATATTCATAGGCGTTTGTGGAGAGATGTTTAATCTTTATGTCTTCTAATATTTGCAAACCCAACGAGATTGTATCAACCAAGGTCAAGCCCTCTAATGACGCATGACATTGAATGGCTATTCTCATTTACGTATTGTCTATGTCTTTTGTCAGCAGGCCTTATTTGCTCCATGATGCATAGCCACAGGAGTGGCCGGTACCGGGCCGTTCCAGCTTCAAGTCAATTGTTCCTTCCGGTTCTTGATTTTCTCACCGGTGCTTCTTTTCTACTAATAAAACCTTCACCAGTCACCTATAGGTTTCATGATTGATCCCTCTGTACTGCTACCAGTGTTTTTGATTTAAATCTACTTTTACCCTCACCGGGGTTGTCAATAGTCAGCACGATGGCAGGAAATCTTCTCTATTTACAGTATTTTTTGGGACGGCTTCTCTACCGCATTCGTGGCCACGATGCTGGGCAGATCATCCGGACTGCAGCCTTCAAGACCTTCCCACTGTCCAATATGCAGTTGGAGGCCACGGAATGCGGACCGTCCGGCTCACCGATGCTCCCACACCACACTTGTTTAGCTGCCGATAAGAATGGTAGCTTCCCGGAACTCCGCTGGACTCCTCCTCCGAAGGTCGAAGTCAAAGAGTATATCCTGATTTCCGAGGATATCGACCCGCCCATTCCTCGCTTCGTTGTCATGCATGGGCTGTTCTATGCCATTCCACCTGCGATTACGGGTGTGCTCCCAGACGACACTGAGCAAGACACAAACACAAAAGAGCATGTTACTCGGTCTGGCTGGAGATACGTCCCCAACCTTCTCGGAAGCTCATACATCGGACCTGCCCCTCCTTTAGGACATGGCGCTCATCGATACATCTTTACCGTCGTTGCCCTCAGCGAGCCCCTTCGGTTCGATCGTTTGCAAGGAGTCAGCCAAAGGCAGGTTACAAAAGCAATGATTGGCAAAGTCGTCGGATGGGGTCAGTGGATTGGGCACTTCGAACGCCCCTGGCCTAGTTAGACGGTACTTATCATACTATCCCGCGGATCCTCATGCCACGGGTCCTACAATCACTTGGAAAATCTCATGGACGAAGAGAAGGAGCATATGCTGTTAGAAAAGTGGGATCGGGGACGATACGATGAAGTGGTATACGTTTGTTTCTTGTACTATCCTTCTCATTACTTCTTCATTACCTAATAATGCCATTACCATAACCGGAAGAGACTAGCCTCGAATCGCGTCAGCAATGCCTTCCAGAATTATACGTGTGGTACGATGATCAGACAAGGTGACTGCCCCTTGGTATTTCTTTAGCCCACTGGTGCAATTAGCTTATCATACATGGACATGAAATGAATTACGTACGTTGCTCGACTTTTATCTGGTCCAAGAATGCCACGAACCGGTGCATGGTTGACTGGACGGACGACTCGTACGCCCGCAGCGTGGCCGCCCCAGCTCGGTGTACCTGGGTATTGTCCGTCGAAAGCGTTCGGAGGATGCCCTGAAGAGCCTCTAGTAGGCTGAGAAGCCTCATAGAATTGCGACACAGAAGGGTTCGAACTAACATCCCCGTCTCGGCTTCGTCCAAATCTGTTTCCCCCAGCTGCACCTTGCTTCGAATGCAAATAAAGTGGGGCAGAGGCTGCTCAAATGCCAGGATGGTCGCGTCGAAGAGACAGTTCTTGTGGGTGATGCTGTATGCTGAGCATACGGCCTCAAACAACGAAAGACAATGATCGGTGAGGGCCGGGATGGTCAAGACGGAGGAAGACTGTGGCGGAACTTTGCGACAATCTTTGCAATTCAACATAGCTTGTCCTTGTCTATAGACGCGCTGGACCAAGTCCAGTATCGTTTCAAACTCCACGACCGTGTCTACATTCCGGATCTCCGTCAAAATTTGCAAGGCATCGATTGAACACCTACAGCTGCTTTCGGGTTCCATCTGTGGGAGGCAGTTGCAGTGAACTCGTCCCCAAACTTGTCGTTGCCAAACAAAGTTGATGTCGCGACGTCAGAAAGCTCAAAGGTCGTCTGGTAGATGCTCACCCTACATACCTCAGGGTGTCTATTTCCCAGTTGCGTGAATCAGTAGTCTACCACGCACCTGTTACTGTATCGGGAAAAAGGGGCACGCCAACCTAAAGCTTGAATACCCTTCAAGTTATTTTCCAATTACAAGGGCGCACATAACCATCAATTACTCCAATAGGAATACGACTTTCTATTGTCTATGTGATCGTTCACTTGATAGCCGCCTCACGTTTCGTCAGCTCGAAGTCAACGAGGGAGCTCTGTTGGTCCGTTCGCTAAGGAGCCAGTTCGTCGTGGCACACTCACATCCTAAGACCCGTAAAAGGGTCGCACAGCAGTTGACAGTTGAAAACAATAGTTCCCAACTATCGTACCCTCCGAGTAGCGGTCAATCCGGACTAGTGTCTACGCACCTACCATTTGCATCCAAAAAGCAGTGCCATTCAAAAGACCAGGCATAGCCGCATATACGGCGAATGGCCTGAATGGTACCATCAGGGCGCGATCATTGATGGATTATGTTGGGGAGTGAAATAGATTGCACAGGTACGCAGGCACAGATAGGGTGATTATCATTACATGTAGATATAAGCTATATTAAGGTTTTACCTCCAGGTATTGTACCCTTTCAACGTCTAGCCGGCAGTTTCATTTTCGTCATAACCAACTGTACCCTTCGATTCGTCTCTGTAATCATGCTCAACCTTCCCCATGATGACGGAAGAGCTAATATCTCCTCAGTACAGCGCTGTATCCGACCGATAATACTTGACAACCCGCAAAGTCGCGCGTGCAAAACTTGTTTCACAAAAGTAAACTTCTCTTCTGATGGGACGGGGAAACCTCCGACTAACAATGGACATTCCTCCACCTGTGCTTTGAAGTGAAAGTTTCCGTTTTTGTACCGACGATTGGCAGCCCCATTCAAACTCTCCTGTCCATATTCCCGAAGGCGACTCTCGTGATACTCGACAAATACGCCATCCCAAACACCACCGTCAACGGACGTGATTGTTTCGAGTGCGGTTACTAGACTGTCGATGCTAACAACGACTATCATGAGCAAATTTACCCGTGTTTTGCAGCAAATGGCGCATTCGAGGATAGTATCGGTTAACTGCTGTAGGATCTGCTGACATTTCAAGATTGAGTCAATTGTGACTGTTGGCCATGTGCGAGAAGCGCTGATATTGAGCAGCATCAAATCTCGAGCAATATGATCATGGCACTGACACTGATATTGGCGGGCTGTAATAGTCGTGGCGAACCCTGGACCCTCCGATGAGTGATTATATTCGTGGGTGCGTCGCTGCCCCTTGCTTGTAATTAGTGGGTTCAGATGTTCGCTGGCGGTAGGCAATCTAGCAGAATCACTCTCTGTTGAAGACGGTACAGTCTGTGGCCAAGCTATCGAATCCCTTTTAAGAAACGCTGTATAAGGGGACGCTATATCCGCCATTGCCTGCGCACTTTCAGTCGTTGGCTCACTGTAGGCCGAGAGGCCACTTGCTGGTGGATAGTACGCGCCCAATGGCAACTGGTCCTGCAGCTCGAAGGAAGCCATGTCGATTGTCCCCGTGGAGCCGGTGAGATCTTTTGTGCTTGATGGAAGCGCTGTAAGACCAGTGTCGGTATTATTTATACCAAGAGCATCGAGAAAGTTGCGGTCCTGCGCCAAGTCGGCTGACTGTCCAGATACAAACTCCTGTAGCCAGTTGTCGGACAGATCTATGGTATCGGAACCTGGATAACACAAACCGATCATCCATGTTAGCCTCCCTCCCGTATAGGGGATGTAAAACGAACCCTCATAGAGTGATAATTTGTCTGTATCTAGGAATGGTGGGGTTGGTAGGCGTGTATCCTCTGTAGACATATCATCTACAATAGAGTCGTTGAAGGTAATTTCGTCCAGGATCACCTCCTCTTCATCCTGGGGACTTGCTATATCATGGCCACTTCTCTGGCCCGAGTCCCTCTTGACCTTCCTCTTCCTGGGACTCCGAACTCTTCGATTGGTCTGGTGACGAGGGTGATCTGACGTTCCACAATCGAGCGAATCGTCTTGCGCATTGTCTCTCTTCTTTGCGGGTCTTCCTAAGCGTCGGGACATGCTGTAGACACAATCTATATTGTGCTTTTGACATCGGCGACACGATGGCCTCTCGTGACTACAACGGATTTTGGCTTGCTGACAAGCATTGCAAGTAGAGCGGACTTTGACGCTTTTGGGGAGAGGGTCGGGAATCATTCTGGACGACCTATCTCGATTCATGGCGACGACTGAGCACAACACCGTGTTTGGATCGGTGAGCTACCATTGAGTCTTCTGTCCGGCATCCTATATACCGGCCGATCAGTTTCTTTGCAAGGTACCAGCCCATCTCGTTGCTACCCTCTCCACAGTGCCCCGAGGTATCAATAGGCTCAAAGTTCAGCACCAAGGTAGCAATGAGATGCAGTTCATTCCTTATCCAGGTTACATTATCCAGGTTCCACGACCCATCGACAGTTCCAGGTATTTGGAATTCATCATAGCCGTAGCGCCCCTACGCCTAGCTGCCTCACCGTGGTGTGATTAAAACACGCTGTTTGAATTGCCAAGCCTTACAGTTCAGCTTCGTGGACCGAGTGCTACTGTGATCAAAAGCTAGTGCACAAGTCACTACGTGTCAATCTGCCTATCGCCTGAACTCCACCGTCACGAGGAGCTGCTGCATCCACCCTTGGTCCCTTGTCTAGACCCTGTCGTCCTACATCACCACCTGCAGCTTCCCTCCCATCTCACATGCCTTCGTCCCGGCCGAACCCGTGGGATCTGCCCCCTCGCACAGCATCGACCGTAGCCACGTCGTCGTCGGACTAGCCGTAGCCGTCGGCTTCATCACAGGCCCATCGTACTCCACCACGAAATAGTTCCCTGCCACTGGCGCACCAAGCCTAGCGACGGCTACGAACTGGTGAATGTCGAAGCCCGCCCTCGCCTCTGCCGTCGGCGGGAAGATGTGGGAATAGCACTTCGGGAATTGGAAATCCGGCTTTTGGACGAAGAGGAGCTGCACATATCGATGGTGCGAGAAGGGCGGTGGTCGTGGAGCGATGTATTCGGCTCCCATGCTCTGGTTGACCAGGATGCCGCCATTGGAATACCCGTCTGTTGTCTCGTATATTCGATTCTCATGACATATATCCATCTGCATAACGCAAAACAGATCAGGCTGGTACCAGTGTAGTGCGACTGTGGCGTTCATGTCGTAAACAACGTCCAGATCAAAGAACAGAAGGACATAGGTCAGTTTGGGATTGAGTCCGCGCGTGCTTATTATGGGTAAGTCTGCTGTTCCTGGTTTGGGCATTATCTATTAGAGATTATGGAAATTATGAGGGTGGGAATAGTGGAGTAAGAGATATACTAGATTTCAAAATCGTATCCCTGGGATATATCCACGATGTCTCAGGATATCGCAAATGCAAGATCGCGATATCTGGAGGCAGAAGACTTATGTGAGCTACTGCACCAGTCCAGAGAAGGTATAAGAGAATGCATAACATTGTTTCTAACGTTTGATGAATCGCTATAGCCTGAAAGAAACGAACGAGTATACCGGACTTCACAACCCTCTTATAGTTATACTCTTAGCTCCTGTCATATCAGACCGAAGGCACGGTGTGTAACCTTGAAGCCACGGCAATTAATCATGATAAACAAGACAGTTGATCTGTGCTTTGGGGCAATGACCACCTAGAAACATTGGACGAACCATAATTCACGAATAGGATAGAGAAGGAAAGCGAGAAGGAGATGGCGAGGCGTACAAGATCGGATCGAATCTGAGCAAACACCCACAACCAGGCCCCGGTGATTGGGCTGTGCTGCACAAATAGTGCTATGTAGCTATACACTATCATTTCTTCCTCCACTGTAAGCCCCATGTCCACACCATCCATAACAAAGGGACGACACTCAGTACGACCACCGCCACGCCACAATATGTCGCCCTAGCGCCCCAGCGCTGGATACAGGGGTGTACAAGGGCTGTTGCTGCTGCGCCTAGGGAGCAGCGGACGAGGTTATTTGTCGCCATTATTGTTGCTGGTGTTGTGTAGTGGAGGTCCACGAGAAGGATGTTTAGGATGTTGTACGTGGCTGTTAGTGTGAAGGAGATAGTAAAGATGAGTGTTAGTGTCAGCGCGAGGGGTGGCGGGTTGATTGTTGACGTTGCGAGGCCATAAAGGAGGATCGGGAGGGGCGCTAGGAGCTTTCGTCATATTAGTATAGAATGATACTCGTATTCAACGGCCTACAAAGCCTTATGGGGGTGTATGTGCGTACAGCTATCGGCCCCCCAACTCCCAATCGAGCCTTCTCGACATCAAAGTAGTCCATGTCCTTTCTGCCGTTTGCCATCATTCGCCGGTAATTCCAGTCTACGATGATCCCATTGAATGTCGCGCTTAAGAGGGTACCGGCGCCTATTGGGAAGAAGCTTAAGCCGATATTCAAGTCACTTAGCCCATAGATGGATCTGAGCTGGGAAGGTAGACCGGCTGTTATGGCGTAGTAGCTTGCAAAGACAAGGCCGTTGGATATGAAGATGAGGCTAGTTGGGAGGTGGAAGAGAAGGGAAAGCGTAGATAGGGGGCTGATATTCCTTTTTGGCGGTTGTGTTTGAAGCACTGGTTCTGGGTTGGTAGGGGGAGTAGCAATAGGCTTCCTGTAGGAACGTTTAGAGATCCACCAATTGAAGATGGATTTGTTCCATCTTGATGCCAGGATTGAACCGTCTCCGACAATGGTCCGACATGTTTCGGGAAAGAAGAGCACGAGAGGGATGAAGAAGATGGTGGATGACATTGCGAGGAACCAGAATATCGATTGCCATCCTAGATACTCGCTCAAGACACCACCTATGAGAGGCCCTAGTGATGGTGCGAGGATATTCCCTAGGGAGGTAATGCTCATGTATGTTCCCCGTTCGGCGGAGGTGATGATATCGGCAGCGACGGCCGATGCCAAGGCCACAGTGCCGCTGCTACCACTACTCTGGACCGCGCGAAGGACCAGAAGCATGGGGTAACTGCGTTGTAGGGCTAGGGCGATGTTGCTTGTTATATAGATCAGAAAACAGATGATGTAGGCTGGGCGGCGGCCTGCTTGGTCTGCGAACGAGCCTGTGAGGGTTGGTGCTAAACCTTGACATATCTGCATGTATTGTAGGGCTGAGTAAAGACGAAATTCTTCAGTGGATACTGGTGAAAAGGATGAAGTACCATGTATGTGGTTATAGTTAAGTTGATTTGGGAACTGGTTACATCCAGATCGGTAGCTATAGAATTGAGGGCTGGGTAGTAGATGTTAGCCGAGATAGGGGAGAACGTCGACGCTATGGCTGCTGTGAGAATGATTAGCCGCTTTTGTCTAGTAGTGAAGACTGAATATCGCTCTGCTCCAGGATGAGATTGTAAAAGAGGCGTGGTTTCAGTAGGTAGCCTTTCTACCAAGGCTCCCTGGCTGTTGGTCATCTCGCCTTGGCTCTTCTTTGGCATGAAGGCGTATGTCCATTGAGGATTAATGGGGCCTACTATGTACAGTAACTATAGGACAAAGATGTTGTCTTCAAGCACCTTCATAAAGCTTGTTAAGTGCCTGGTTCATTGGATTGCATTCTCTTGTGCTAGACTGGCAGAAGCCGCAAAGCATAACCCCTTCTGAGAAGCAATCATGTTACTGTGTGGTAGACAAAAGTAATCCTTACAGCTCATACAGTTAAATCTTTGGCAATGGCTTGTTATCCTCCGTTTCACCTGTGTATACGTGCGATGGTCGAAACAGCTTGCCGTGTGTCACTGCCATGAGTCAGAATACTCCGTTATCTCACCGCAATCAGCACATACACATGTATTCCCGCCAATGGGCCATTAACCCTATTATGCGTTGTGTCAACATAGCAGCTGGAATCATATCTGGGTCGAAGCCACTAATCACTGGTCAGCTGCCATGGGGTAATTCATCTGTGGAACCCGTAGCTTACATCGCGGTGAAGACAAAGTTACCATAAAAGTCAGCATTAGGGTACAGACTTCTGCGACGGAAGTACTCATCCGCTGAGGCTATTTCCTCTATGCGTTCGGCTATTTTCAAATGATTGTTCGATGATAAGTCCAGGTCCTTCAGGATTGATTGAATTGGACGAACTCTGGGATCATGGCCCTTGTATGAACGATGTCCATATCCAAAGAGCTTCGTTCGCCCGGCCTTTACATCCTTGATAAACTCGGGAACCTTGCCTGTGCTTCCGATCTCTCGGAGCGTACGCTGGGCAGACACAGTAGCACCAAAGTGCAGGGGCCCATATGCGGCTGCTACAGCACTGATCAAGCAGGAGATAGGATCCGTCAAGGAGGATGCTGTCACTAACGTTGCGAATGCGGCCAGGGCCATGCCATGGTCGGCATTCAGCATGGCAAAGCGCCGGAAACACGACAGCTTAACTGGATCTGGGCGCGAGGAAGCCCGATCCACCAGCCCAGCCATAGTGAATAAATTCTCGCACAAGCTATTCTCCGGCGATGGCGGCTGGAAATCAATGCCCTTCCGGTGACTATTTACCAGACCAAAAATAACACCATATGCGGCTACAGTTCGGATAACCGCATGATCGACATTATGCAGGTTTCCTTGGTAAAGATTCGCATGTGTTGAGGCGGGAATTGTGTCTGGAAAGCACGCCAGATAAGCCGAGAGCCCAGCCAGGATCAGCGGCAATGGAGATGTTGTCCGGCTATAGACCCAAGGTCAGTCGTTGAACAAGGTCATAATCACAGGTGCCCTTACGGAAGTTCTTGGATTGTTCGATGCACACTTTCTGGGACAGTCAGCATCTGGCGTGTAAGCTTTCGGTTTAGATCTTGCTTCTGCTGCCGTGTTGGATATGTGCCCCAAACGAGTAGATGCAACATGTCCTCGAAGTCGCTGTCCCATAACTGGGCCAAGGTGTAACCGCGAAAGAGAAGCACGCCTCTTTCATGATCACTACACACGTCAGTCTGTGCACTGTCTCGTCATGTCCTTTGTCGTACGAATAACTTATAGCTGACTCTATCACCGTTGTATTCTGTAGCCCTGGATCGTGCACCCGCAGCCCACTAGCCACATGATCTGCTCGGTCTGTACCAGCTCCTGGTGCCTTGATACTCTTGAGATCAGTTGCAAACACCACATTTCGCCTGATCGGAATTTCGTACTTCTGCTTCGTCCGAGAGTCAATGATATGAAGGGTCCCTGACGACATTTGGAAGTTGCGGCGGCCTTTGACACATGCAGTAACGAAACTCACCAGGTTGCAAGGGCGATCTTCACACTCACCATGTGCACAGGAAACCTCGTACATTCGAGAACACGGGAGTCATCCACTTTATAGGTTGCCATATATGCTACCGCACATTCTTCCGTCGCTGGCCAAAGGTTTTCTGTATGTAGCAGGTGTTATGCTGAGACGGTACCCGACTACGCCATCCACCAAATGAATAGCCTTGCCAAGCAACCGGGGGATTTTCAGTTGTTCCCACTCAAGTCCAGTATATTGCCGGTCGAATATTGGTGGAACTAACCCATTTCTGAGCCCAGGACGTGTCATCATTTGAAAGGGTAGGGAACATACAGTCCAACATTCGTTCAAGAACAAGTAGCTTAAATAATACTACTAGTATGACAGCTAACTATTTACAGTCCACCAATCAGACCTGGGATTCAGCGGTGCATGGACGCAGCATACTAAGTTATACGGAGTGCAAATATCAAAATTGCCATCAGAGTTTCATTCATTAGATAGGTCATACACTATTTATCGTCAAGACTATTGTGTCCACTGGAAATCATCCATTTTCCATGGGGTATCTATTGCGACGGCATGTGCTCGAAAGGCTTCGCGAGACTCTCCTTGCAGAATGGAAGCTTGCTGGCGGTCCAGATTTCGGTGTCCTAAACAGATATCTCGCGTTAGCTGAGAAAGCAAAGGGCAGCCTATCCTGTCATAAGGATATTGGGGACTCGTACAGGCTTCAGGTTCTTCTTGATCTCCACATCAAGGGTTCCGGCCTTCAGGGCGATGATCTCTGGGGCAGCTTCGGGGTCATGGGCAATAGGGGAGCCACACTCCGAACAGAAAAGTCGGTGAACTGGGTGGCCTGAAGATCCAGTTCCTGCGTAGCTCTTGATGGGTCCATTGATCTTTAATTTGTCCTTGAGTACTACCGCGACGAGAGCTGTGAAGCGAGAGATATTAGCCCATGGTCTGGTGAGGCTTATATTATAATAACAGACGCCGAGAATGGGTATTGCAAGCACGATCACACATACAATAAGTTGATCCACTCTGACGCTGACAATCGTCGCAGTGGTCGTACGCGGTTATGAGCGGCTCGTCTTGGTCAACCGTGTAGGTGACGGCTTTGCAGAGACAGTGGCCGGACAAAGGCATTCTGACGTCACAAATCGGATCGGGCTAAAGTTGATTGGGGTACGGAGTAGAGTCAGGCGAACAAGGTGCTCATGAGTTGGGGACCTTCGAGGAATGATGGCACCTCGGGGGGTATTTATAACCCTCCATGGTTCCCCGGTCATTCACCTGAATCTCGATTCGGGGAAAGGAAATCGACTCTTGCTCAGCCGTGGGTGGCATTGCTACATTAGGTGGGAAAGAAAGAATCCACTGGTAAGGGTATTTGTCATTGCGGGTTGAACCAAGTGGAGGGAGGGGGGGGAAGCAAGGTGAATCAATCGCTGGGAATGAATCCAAATGGATGAAACGAGGGTGATGAGGGGCAAAGCTGAAGGGAGGGTCTTTGCGTCACGGGTTGAACTCTGCTGGAATTGGCCAGTCGGTCACGTTCTCTCGGGTTCCACCAAACTAACTCTTTACCTCTCTTTCTTTCTCTCTCTTCTTGCTTTGTTTATGTGTGTACGGAGTACTTCGGGCTCCCTCAACTCACTCAATTGTCGTCGGCAGAACGAATCCCTTCCTGCGTTTGTAAACATTGCATCTCCCTCATACTAATCCCCATCAATTGAACAATACAATCCTCCCAGAGCAACTTTCGGGCCATGACAATTCCCACATCTCAGCTATGTACATTGCAAACCCCTCCATCATCCACTAATCCATTTGATCTGCAACATACCCCACTCGGAAGGAGCTTAGATCATGATTATTTGATGGCTGATTCTGATAGTACACAGCTGGTAGTACCGAACGAGCCACTTCAGCCGGTCGCAAACCTTGATCCAGAGACCTTTCCCTTTATGCAAGAATTTGTCATTTTGGATCCCGAGAGCGGCCGAACGGATCTCCAACATGGCTCGGCTAATGAACACGTCTCTGCCCTTTTCTCAACAGTTTTCGTTCGGCGGGGTCTAATGTATGTACATGGACTAACGCGGTGAGAAACACACGGATCGTCAGTCCAGGCCCGCTGTCACATCACAGTAGGCTTTCAGTAGCTGCATATCATGCAATGCCCCTCTATGCGGTCTTAAAAATGAAGTACCCATCTAATCAACATAATTCAGGGGGGTTATCCAAGATTCTCTCACACTCACTAGGGATTCCCCGGCCCCTCCCCTGCGCTTTAGAGAGCAATGGACGTCATCCCTTTGGGCATCTACCATTTGCCCTTTCGTTCTGAGTCATTAAAAATAGATTTGGCGGGTTTCCGTTGCCATTACCCGTGCTTGATAGAACCATCTTATGTGACCGACGATCTTGTACTTCTTTGATCAACTCAGTTGTGGGGTCATAGTTCGTCGCCAGGACCCTGCGAATATAGGTCAGCTTTCCTTGTCGTTGTTTGACTGTCTGACAGGAAGCTTCTTTGCATCTCACTCCAAGATGCTGTATAAAGAGAGGTGAGAGATCATCCACCAGGGGTACCATTCGGATTACCTGTACCATACACAACCTTCGCTGTGACTCGCCCATGCCCATATCTCAACGGATCTACAGGATTTAGAGGCGCGTGGGAGGACACTGCAGCAAGTACAGCTATGACCCTATACGTTCTGGGTGGCTGACGCTATGAGAAGCTCGTATGATTATCCCAGTCAGTATTCGGAGGCAGTCATTAGACTGCCAGTTGTATAGGCCGCGATTGCAGATCCTAGCGAACTCAGCTGGTCAAATGTAAACCGTAAACAGATGGAGATATGTCTCTTGTTAATAGTATATGTCATATTGCTCCACTCTACTAACTAGTTCCTTCCAAAACTCAAAGCTTTTTCTTAGGGCAGTGTCCAATGCTATCTAATTGATTAGGGACTTTGAAAAATGGCAAATCCTTCTAACTGCAGGTGTTGGCCCGAATCTTCTTACTTCCAACCTCAGGGTCAGCTAACATTCAATCTAAACACTGCGTCGTCTCAGGATCAATAACTCCATCGTCTACAGCAAGGTCAGCTTGTACGCCAGAGGAGAATGCTGAACAGATCCATGCAGCAGGGACCGCTCACGTCTATCGGAATTGACAGACCACCTTGGGGTTCTAGTGCTCCACGAGGTATCCCCAGAAGATCGTTCTAATTAGCAGTCGGACGAGATTTAGAGCTCATGAGATCTAAACTGTTCAGGGCACGGCCATAGGCTGTTTGTCAAAAGCTAAATTGATCGATGTCTATTATCGGAGGTATTGCCTCTATCACCTGCCCCTGTTTGACACCCTCAGGTGTAGTATCGCTTTGCAGCTTGCGCAGTAGAGTTTCCTTACCATTAAAGTTACTCTGCTTCACCCTGGGGGTTTTGGATGGTCACTATAACGAGTGTGAATGTTTATTCGTTATCCGACGCCCCCTGACGGGTTGATCCCCTGTTATTTCCCCTCCTGCTTGGGATATTATGACAGCTTCTTCGCCATTAATATCTATTCAATGTCTGAGGCACATTTCGATTCATGAATCGATGGCAAGTTGTCATTCATATGGAACAGCAGAACTGCTTTGGGCAATCAAGATGGAACTGGCTTTCATCTCCTCTAATTTCTCGCATATTAATTGTATATATTATAACCCCCCATGTTCTCCCCGCTGATATCATTCTGAATGCATTCGCCGCGACATGGATCCGCTTCTCGGGCTTAAGGTTATTTACCATAAAGAGGAACCATTGTTGTTTCGCTTGCCACAGCCAATTAGTTCTTACAGGCTTTGGAAGTGTTGACTGGTCTTCTGGATACATGGAACCATATATATGGCAGTCGAGCGCTGATACTTCCAATAATCGTCATTGACACAAATCTACTTGGTTAGTACTTGGATTGTGCCTAATGCTAGAGAAGCTTCACGAATACATCCAGAGTGGGACATTGGTCAACGGCCTCCAGTAGAGCTAATAGTATGACACATCCGCAGACTACCGAGTAATACTGACGCACACCCCCGAATTGGGAGCTGTCATCAATTCCTACATTCACTATACCATCTCTTCAGGACTGGGCACAACTCCGTTCATGAAACGGTTGTGGCACAACCTCCCTCCGGTCTATCACTCCTTGCGGCGCGCTATATTGATCAAACTGATGCTCTATTTGGAATGGAGCTATCCAATCGAGTCTTATATCCGCACTGCTAATGGGCTGCTCACGTTATACTCAATCAAGTCTAAAGAAGCCTAGAACCATCAGTATACGGTCTCCGGAGAAATGCACCACGAGCCCCAAATGTCTCCTTGATCACTACCCACCGTGTCGTGGCGCCCGTTTATAGCCTTGGTCTCCAGCATGTGAGAATGTACGGCCGGTATGAAAGTAGCATTGCGAGACCAACTGGAAGCTGTTTGTGGAGTGTTTTGGTTTGCCTCTGGGGATCACACCCCATATTGCAACGCTGTGCAAGAGGCATCCTGGGCCCTTGAAAATAACGCAGCGCCCATGTCGCTAGTGTGTCTTACAGGTGACCTCACATATCTGATCTGCCCAGAAAAGGGGAGGCATCATACTCCTTGTCCCACGTGACGTGTGACATTCCTCGGTGAGAGCTCTATGATCTATCCGTGGTTGGGCTAATATTCTTATAATGCTCCGGGTGAATAGACTTGCTGCTTATGGCATTTCTTTTTGTTTCTTTCTGTCTTTTCTTGTTCTCTATATATTATTTTTTATTTTTCCTTGCTGGCTTGTTTGGTCTATTTTCTTGCTACGATGACTATACTAAGTATACCCCTTGTCCTTAATACCCAACGGGATGCATTCCGTAGGCAGCTACACCAGCAAATATATTTTTCGAAATATCCCAAACACAACACACCAGAAAAATAAATAAATAAATAAATAAATAGAAAAAATAAAACTAAATCCAGAGGAGTCTTAAAAAAAAATTAAACAAAAATTCTACTTGAATGAAATGCATCATGAATTTTTTTTTATACGATTTCTCCAAGAAGAACCAACGAAAGAAGTAGTACCAAGTCAGACTGTTGTTGATTGCTTGTGTCCAGAAACAGACACAAGCCGGGACCGGAAAGTCGAACCACCGCCCTGTCGGCAACACCCGACATGGCAAGCCGGTACCGGGATGCCTTTATTAGCAGGAGATCCTATGAACACGATTCTATTACTACTACATATTAGCATTGAAATTATCAAAATGAAAAGCACGTTTGCCTTGGTACATCGTGATTAATCTGATTTAGCGAAATGGCAGGTGATTAGCGGATGACAACAATGGCCTAAGGCACCAAGTAATTTAGGGAGTTGCTGAGACAAGCTCCTCGGTAGATTCTGTACTATATTGTATTCAATGTTGGAGGTTCACTACAAGCTAATGAGTCAACCACGTCTGTGTGCATATAATTTAATATGTGCATAAAAACTACACATATACCATGTCACTGAGCAATATACTTACAACTATCTCGTCTGTAAATATCTGTTGTGCTGTATTTAGTAGTTACTCAGAGAGTAAGCTCGCGGAGATTGTGGTCCTATCTCCGTGCTTTTTTCTGTTAATATTCTCTCACCGTGGTGCCATCAACATTCATCTCCCCCGATACTACATTGTCAGTCTGCCAGGTTTAGAGTGCAATCGATTGTTTGAATAGAATGGACGATCAAGATAATGCGATGTAAGCAATGAGCTTATGCTCAACGGTGCTGCCACGATAGCATCCCACTAACGCGTCGAAAGGCCATCGAAACGGAGCAAGAAAGCTTGCACCGAGTGCAGGCAGCAAAAGGCGAGTCACCCAGTAACGGGCTCTCCCTTTCGCTTTTGTACCATGAAGTTATCAAAAATGACTATAACACCGAGTTTTCCTAATCTTAGCGTCTCTAGGCTCGGTGCGATGCTTATCTCAACCCTGATCGGCCATGCACCAGGTGTGTCAAGATGAAAGCACAGTGCATAATCTCCGATCCATTCCGGAGAGAACACAAACGCCAGTGAGTAGACAAAGGGGCTCTCTTAGCATCAGAAGTCCATACAGAGATTGACTGGAAAAGACGACTTTCAGAATTAGAACAGGAGACAGATGAGTTGCGGAAGAGATTGAGGTCTTCACAAAGTGCTCTCCCTCAGCCTTCACCTATCGCCATGCTGACAGCTGCTGCGGAAATGGGTGTGCATTCCACGAGGACAGAAGCTGGCCTCCACTTAACACCTCAATCACAGTCACCTCCAGCCTCCTATGCTGAAACATCAGTTCCTTCACTCTCCTTAGGGCCGCCCCTACCACGAGCGGAATATGCCCCAGGAGACCGGGCTTCAGATCCGACAGTGCCACGTACTTTGAGTGGTGTTGAGGTCACTGGAGAAGAAATAGACGAAATATTTCAACTGTATGCGCCTAGCGTACGATAGATGTTGCTGTGCCAGCTAATAGAGACCAGGTTCTTTGACCAATATGCCCAGTTCCTCCCCGTGTTGGACCCATTAACCACCCCCAACACGTACTATGCACAATGCCCCTTCCTATTTTGGGCTGTCATCGGGGTTGCATGCAGGACGTACCCAAAAAATCCGACATTGCTTACGGCGCTCGCAAGAAGCATTACAGACATGGCCTTACTTTCACTCGCGTCGACATCAGCCCCCTGGCATATAATCCAGGCCTTGCTGCTCTTCCTCACATGGCCACTGCCGAAGGATAATACAAGGCCCGAATTAACCTTTCCGTTAAGTGGTAGTATGCTGCATATTGCCATGCAGAACGGGCTTCATATCCCCATGTTGAGCCACGAGTTCACTAAGAAAAGGATTCCTGCCCCATCGGAGGCGGAACTGATGCGGCGATCAGAGCTTTGGGCACGCTGTGTCATTGTGTACCAACGGTAAGGTGCAAACCACCACCTTGCCTGCGAGGTGCTAAGAGATGCCAGTGCCTGTTCAATAAAGGGGCACCCGCCTCGCTCTTTTATGGAACTAGAGCAGGACTTTGCACAACGCGAAGTGGATGTTCAGAAGCTATCGCCGTCACTCGTCTTGGAGAGGAAATGCCAGGAGCTGGTTGCCCGTTGTAGTGCGGCTGTTCTTGAGATCGGAGTACGAACAATGTCCCTAGAGCAAGAAAGAGCTTTAGATATCTTGTTGCGTACATTTGAGAACCAGGTCACTGATCTGGAGACACAGATAAGTCAAGGTAATACTGATCTTCCTCTACATTAGTACGGGAGAAGCTCACTGCCATCTAGCGCATGACCGGATCCAAACCACCACTTGTCGTCTAAGCATTCAAATGTTGCACTTTTTCAAAAGCCAAACATTATTCTCGACGGGGTGCATCCAGCGTCTCCTATCTACCGCCTGTTTGGTTACCGAGTCCGTTCAAGATTTAAGCCGAACCCCCCTGAATCTTGCCACAACTCCTCTGGAGTTGTATTTTGCGCTGCTCCTCGCCTCAATAGCCCTCTTGCGGATACTCAAGGGCCCCGCGTTACCTGGATTAGATCTTGAGAGGGCTCGATCATGTTTCTTTATGGCAATTAATCTTCTTAAACAGATGTCTGTCCAGAACAATGACGCTGCGGCGAAAACGGTTATTGTATTAAATCAACTTTGGAATAGTACAAAGGCCTTTCGCAAGTCCGACGGGAGCGACTTCCCAACGCTTCGGATCCGTAGTCGACTGATGCTTAGTCCTGTGGTGGATGCAGTATGGTGGTGGCGGGAAGAGCATGACCCCCAGTGTCGGTCAGGGTTCCCCTCCCAGGGGAATGCGCCGGATGGTATGTTTCTTTCATCTTACCCCTCATGGTGAAGCTTATCATCGGCATAGGGATTGATTCCAATCGAGACAGCACCGGTGGGGTGGTAACTGCACCGATTGGCCTGATGGAACGTCATGAGCCTGTCCTGTTTGATGACCGGTTTCTGGCTGATTTTGAATGGGCCTTGGGCGATGACGGGCTCTATCCTCCGACTGAGCCGTATGGCCCAGGTTGGTCATCGATAGGAACTGCCATCTAGCGCCAATAACTTCCCGGTCGGCGCCAATGGCTTAGACTGAATAGTAGTGCCGGACTAACATAGACACCGTCGCTGGAGGACCACAGGTGCTTCGGTAAATGCGACAAACCTGGTCCCAGATGTCGGTTTATCGCGCCTTCTGATTTCAATGTAGGAGTGGGCCTGGCTGCGATTGACCCTTTTAGCTCACAGCGCTACAGTTGCCTAGACGATGCCATGCTCACACTCAATCACTATAGAGCGTGGCAATCATATTTCACCTGCCATTCGCAGAACCATAACAAGAAATATGCAAGACACATGGCTTGTCGTGTTTGTTGATACCTGGCATCCGACGGTATCCATTCGCCATGTGGCCTTGCCCCCTTCGCCAACATAGTGGGACAGCCTCATAGGACGCTCTGACGATGTAGCTGCGAATGAGGTCTAGTGCGGGCATATGCATTGAGGCCACTAGCTGTATCATAGCCGAATCTGGCCGTTGCTGAGTCCCACGTCTTAGTGTCTTCTGCGCTAGAACAATGTTCTATCTTCGCACCTGCCAAATACAGAAGTCCAGGCCAAAAATCAAGGTTAGACCAAAAAGGATACCTTACATCGATGTCCGTGCGGGTGTCCAAGGCACGTAAACTGGTCGCTAATGATGTTATCTATTCATCTGCGCCCGGATTGCTAGTTATCCCACAGTAGGACAAACCTTCCTGTGGCGGTATTTTGAACAAAGGCCGACCTTGGACAAACACAGTGTGCTATGTCTCCCATAAGTTTCTAGGGGAGATCCAAACCACCATTCATGGATCATGACCCCAGAATAGGAAGGAAATTGGGTGCAAAGAGTGCCAATTTTTGGGCCACGTTACATCGCCCTATCGCTCCCGCACCTGGGGTTGAAGCAGGCTTCGAGAAGCGCTGGCGATTGGCTCCACTCTGTTGCATGGGCCTTATCAAGCCCGCCAAGTTGAAGCTAAGACGGAGTTAACTTTCAGAAGCGGTTAGGGTTATAGCCAGACAACCTCCGAAGACTTGCCATTCTTATTCCCGGGTTAACCGAGGCCTCGCGATATCTTCAATTCGTATTGGCCCCGCATAGTATATTGTCTAAACGACGCTAGGCAGGCCCCCAAACAGGTCACGCAGACTTTGCCACAGATATCGTGATCAAATGATGTTTCTCGTCGGTGGACTGGACCATTCATTTGGTGTAGGGCTTTGCGGTGGTGTGTTCCATTGCTTATCAGGAACAAGCTTGGGCGGGTGGGAGCGCCGGGGTCTCACGCCTCGTATCAACCCATTCCCCCTATCGGTATCGCATCCACGCCACCCATAGGCTACAGTTGCAGATTGGCCCCCACCACCCTCCACCGAGTTAGCGCAAGAAATCCAATGCTTAATACCCCAGATACGGACCGGACGCCCGACGCATTTCGCGACTAATTTCAATTACTCCTTGATCCGGCCTTCTATCTCCCTAGCGCTGGTTGCGGTGAAACATGCATAGGAACGCCACTCCGGGTCGTGGTCAGGTCCATTCGTCAATGGCCACTCACAAAGATGTAGTAGGTCAGAGAACTGGTCCAGGAGTCCTAGCGTGATGTCCACCGGATAGCTGAGGGAGCCTATCAGGGCTCAGCCATTAGCCGATATAGCACAACAGTGCCGATCCGCGGAGATTTCCTTCCATACTGTGGCCGGATTGTACAAGTTGTTGAAGCCTGGGGAGTCTTCAGAGCTGATCTGCATAATCAAAATATTGTGTTCATGTGAGATTGCCCGAGTGGCCGTTCTGTCAGCACGATAAAATGGCCCTATTGTTCTCTTTTGTGTGGAGGTTCACTTTGTATGTCTTGCCCAACATCGGTATGTTTAGAAAGACGAGCTTTGGGAAGTGGAAGCTTTGGTTTCTGAGCCGGGGTTACATCGGAACCTACACAGGAATTTAGTGGCTTTGGTATGATTTGATAGCGCTGGTTCCATTTACAATTAATTAATTTGTCCATGCATAGACGATAAGATGTCGGGCTACCATCGGACATAGCTACTGTCCCCACCATTTTGGCAAGGAGCAGATTGCCATCATATCATTTATATGGGGTAACTGCCTTCAACACTCTTCCTTTCCTTTCCACATCCCAACGCTCTCTTAGCGAGCTTACCCCTTTACTTTTCCTCTCTTCTCCAGTTGGATGGTCGGTGCAAACACGGCCATCCTCTCATATCAACGCACTCTGGTGGTGTCGTCTCCCTGTCACGCGCCACAATGAAGGAGAAAGAGACTGAACCCACTGTGGCCGTGACCACCGGAGCGGCCATCGATGAAGCAGCACCGGATGCGGCCATTTCCCATCTGAAGCAACTGAAGAAGGATCATCAATGGGATCCAAACTTGCCCGAAGATGTCACCGACGATATTGACGACAAAGATGCAGCAGAAGCTGCCCAGGAGCTCATTGACAATTCTCCATATCCAGAAGTCCGTGCAGCCGTCCCCAACTACGATGAGGGTGGCCATACCAATACCATCCGCGCCTGGGTCATTGGCCTAGTCCTATCCACCGTTGCATCGGGAATGAACATGCTGTTCTCTCTGCGGCAGCCGTACATTGTTATTCCTTCGTATGTTGTTCAGGTTGTGGCCTACCCAATTGGTGTAGCTTGGGCTATGTTGCTACCTAACAAAACTTTCACTGTGTTTGGTCTCAAGTTCAATCTGAACCCCGGCCCTTTTAGCAAAAAGGAACACGCCATTGCAGTCCTGATGGCCAATGCTTCTTTTGGTGGCGGTACTGCCTATGCCACCGATATCATAGTTGCCCAACGAGCCTTCTACAAGCAGCGGTTCGGGTGGGGCTATGAGCTCCTCTTGTGTATATGTACTCAGATGTTGGGCTTTGGCTTTGCTGGCTTCTTTCACCGATTCCTGGTCGCCCCAGCAGCCATGATTTGGCCATCGACGCTCATCAATACATCCATCTTTAGCGCCCTGCACGATCGCACACTCCCCGACCCACGAAAGGTCGCTGGCTGGACAATCGGCAGATATCGCATGTTTTTGTACTGTTTGATCGGATCTTTTGTCTGGTATTGGTTCCCTGGTTATATTGCCCCCTTCCTCAGCGTTTTCGCCTGGGTGACGTGGATTAAGCCCCAGAGCCCTGTCGTCAACCAGCTCTTCGGCGGCTGGACGGGCTTGTCTTTACTCCCTATCACCTTTGACTGGACCCAGATCTCTGGATTCAACTTCAGTCCATTGATCTCGCCGTGGCATGCGCATGCAAACACCCTTATTGGTATGGTAGTGTTCTACTGGTTTTGTACGATTGGTCTACACTACAGCAATGCCTATTGGTTCAAGCATTTGCCCATCAGTGACTCCAGCAGCTATGATAACCTCGGGGAGGTATACAATGTGTCCAAAATCCTGACACCAGAGTTTACCTTCGATGAGGCTAAGTACAAAGAGTACTCGCCTCTCTTTCTCTCAACTACATTCGCTTTGTGCTATGGTTTGAGCTTTGCTGGCGTTATATCCGTCCTTCTGCATGCTATACTATTTCATGGCAAGGAGATCTTGGCTCGTCTCAAGACTTTTCACAAGACTGAGGATGATGTCCACGCCCGTCTTATGGCTCGCTTCAAGCCTGTACCACTGTGGTGGTACGGTGCACTCTTTTTGACCATGATGGGTATAGGTCTGGGCGTGTCACTCGGATATCCTACTCACCTGAGTTGGTGGGCCTTCTTTGTCGCCTTGATCATGGCCATTGTGTGGACTCTGCCTGTTGGAATTGTCCAGGCAGCCACAAACATCCAGCTGGGACTTAATGTTTTGACAGAGTTTGTGATCGGCTACATGCAGCCAGGAAAGCCAATGGCCATGATGCTTTTCAAAACATTTGGCTATATATCCATGTCCCAGGGCTTATACTTCTGCCAAGACATGAAACTCGGTCAGTTTCAGCCCTAGATGACCCCGGTTCCGTGACTAATTCTTGTACAGGTCACTATATGAAAATTCCTCCCCGAGTTACATTTGCCGCCCAGATGGTCGCCACCCTGTGGACATCGATCGTCCAGATTGCCGTCATGAACTGGGCGTTAGGATCGATCGACGGGGTTTGTGAGCTGGGCCAAGCGAACCACTACACCTGTCCAAACGGCCGCGTTTTCTTCAACGCCTCCGTCATCTGGGGAGTCATTGGTCCCGCTCGCATGTTCTCACCCGGCCAGCTCTATTCCGGCATGATGTGGTTCTGGCTCGCTGGCGCTGCGTTACCCATTCTGATCTATCTGGGCGCCCGTATATGGCCCCGAAGCAAGATCCGCTACCTCAGCGCGCCTCTAATCTTCACCGGTGCCGGATTGATCCCCCCTGCTACACCGCTCAACTACCTCAGCTGGGGCATCGTTGGCTTTATCTTCAACAAGTGGATTCGCAGCCGCTGGCGGGGCTGGTGGATGCAGTACAACTACGTCCTATCTGCCGGGCTCGATGTCGGCCTCACACTATCCACGATCGTCATCTTCCTTTGTCTGCAACTGACTCGCACCACATTCCCAGACTGGTGGGGCACTCGTATCGCGGCAGATACCATGGATGCTTCCGGCACAGCCGTAGAAATTACTGGAGAGAAATTCGGCCCGGCGTCATGGTGATCACGTGCATAATGTCTTGGGAAGAGAAGTTGGAAGTAACGTAATGTATTTATCTATTACTCCTTCCATCCTAGGCCACCTGGTTCTGGATGACGTAGTGTGAATGTTTTATATAATGAGTGATGTCCATTCTTGATGGCCTTGTTACATGGTCATGGAATTTCCAGCTGAGTACGTATAATAACAACTGTAAACCTCTACTATATTCCACAGCATAAAAGGATCTCCGCTATTAGCATTATCAGGAAGTGCTTGTTATATTTCCCGCCCCCAAGTTACATCAGATCCTCCAAGATTCCGGGGTTTTCCGTATGTTGATCTTAATTCCAGCAACGAGACTGGCTTATCTATATATCCATGCGCCAAGTTAAGATAAGATATTCAATAGCCCACCAATCACTGCATTTAAACTCCAACCTAGACTGACTAGCAGGAGTTATACATGCACATCTTCATCTTTCCAATCCAAGTGCACGGATAATGCCGGCGCGCCCCGACGGAAGTCCGACAAAACTTAGCTTGTATTAGAGTGAACTCGTCATGACCTGTCAGGGGCCTTCTTCGTCTAAGATCATAACTGACTGACTCCGTGTCCCTTCTACCAAAAGAGCCATGACGTCAATCCATTGTTTGCGAAGTGCTCTTTTCGAACGTCTATAACAACAACAGTTCATGCATTGACGACCCCGTACATAATAGTGGCTTTAGACCTATAAGCAAGCATTGTAGAGATGTCTTTGACTTAACCCTGCTGTTCGAACAAAGCTTCCCTTTCCATCACACCATCCGCAATCTTTCTCCTCATCTTTATTTTTTCGAAGTTAGTATTGCAATATAGGACTAGAAGAGCCAGAAGGAATACAGTATGGGCCCTGAAATTGGGACAGCACATGCCGTGTCCTCCCCAGCGACAAATTCTCTCTGCTTTTCTCTCTCTCCTACGCCTTCTAGACCTCCATTCCGGCTCAATCCGCATCAAATGAGGTAGACATATCCACCATCTCCCCAGACTTGATCCACGATATATACCCCCCCGCCGGTTCAGTGCGCTCTAATCCCGATGATATCACTGGTGCAACCAACCCCCATCGCATGATATCTTCCCTCAGAGCTGTGGGCCTGTAGACCCATAACAGAAGAAGGGCGGCCTTGAGATAGACAAGGATTGCTGGAGGAGGAATTCACGGGCTGTGGATGGACGGCTCTCGTGGTTACTCATCGTCGTGAGACTGGATTCCGCGGATGAGGTTGTCGTCGTCCTCGATGCTGGGGGTGTGTTGGTGATGATAGTTCGTTTGGAGAGTTTGTACCGGGCGGAATAAGAGGTTGGTGTATGGTCTGGGGTGAGTGTCTCTGGCTAAATTCGTCGGGATTCCCATTCAGATAATGGAATGATGCTGCTCGGCCGGCGGTAGCGTTACTAGAAATTGCCCTTCAATGATCCTATCTGCTATATTGTTCTTCGTGGCATGTTGATGTGAGTATTGATTTAGCCCTAATGATTCATTGAACATTAGCTTCTTATCTCTTACTAGTGCTGTACACTTCATGGTCTTTAATAGTATGATTATGTGATTATCTTCAATCAAAACATGACCGGAAAACAGATCCGATCAATATACAATACTCCTAATGTGCGATCTTGATATGCCAACTGAAAGAAAAACTAAAAAAAAAAAAAAAAAAAAATACAGAA